TCTTTTAACGACATAAACACAATTAAAACAAGAATGCCCGTGACCATCGTAATCACGCGTAGAAAGAAGATTAGATTACAAACATACATATATTTACATACAAATTATGTTCATAGGTATTCATACATAACTACACTTATGTAACAATTGTATATATTTATATTTATATATGAACTTTCTCTCGTCTTAAATTTCTAATACTTTCTGTGTTTTACAACAAACTCCGAATGGAATTTGCCTTGCTTCATGCGAGTCGTCCATCCACCTCTGTTAATTACTTAATGACGATAACATCGAAAAAGTTAAAGAAACAGTACTTGAAAATCGTCGGGTTGGCACCAGAATTATAGAAGAGGATCTCTACTCTTCTTATGGATCCAATCAATACATTTTGGTTAATATTTTGGGTGTTAAGAGCGTCTATGCTAGACTCATACCACTAGATTCTTCGAGATCAATGCGATTCCGAATATTACCTACGCCGTAACATTCTCGTGTTAGGCTTATTAGAAGCCTAATTTTAATGTGATCTCATCTGATTGCACCTCAATGCTTCTAACTGCTAGTCCAGCAATTTTCGGTAGGGTGTCTTCCGTTGTATGGACCTAATTGTTTACATGACAAAGCCATTACTGGTTTATGCTTGATTATACATTCTTAAGGCAACAGAAAAACCTTTCATGTTTGACACCTTCCGTCGTATTGTATCATTAGACACATTTCTTAAGTCACTAATGCCACACTTCTCAGTCTTCACTAGTTTTTTTGTCCTCTCATTCAGTATGTTAATTCGAAACTAGAATATTTCGAAAATTCGTTAATGCTTTATACTTTCTCTTGGCCATTTACAGTTTTGTAAGAGATGTAAAAATAATATCGTTTCTTCTATATAAGGTATATATGTAACTGTAGGTTTTTCAGAGAATGAGAGAGCGAGCAAGCTTAGGTATTATATACATACATATTTATCGTATATATGTAAGCATATACTATACGTAATGGTGCAAATTGTAAACAATATTGGCGCAACGTCAAAAGTAAACAATCGGTCAAGTGCGGTCTGATAAAATATGTCCATATACATACATACATATACGGATTAAATGCTAGTACATGTGTATGGATGTAGAGAAAGGAACCTGTATACTTAAACCAATCTATGTGAATGTATATCGTAAAAAGTGAAAAGAAGACCTAAGAAGAAAGTAGTGACAAATTTACATAAATAAATGTAAATGCACGTGTGTATGTACATATGTTTGTATATACACACCTACATACATACATATGTACATATGTGTATACTTTTAGTTGTTTTTGTTTCGTATAAACAGAAAATAAACTTATATATCTACATGTAGACATACATACATATGTATGTACATTGCTTATGAATGTTGTTTTGAATCAGGTGGAAGGTAAAGCAGTCATTAGCATTTCATTGACTAGTGAAATACAGGAAAATTCTTTAATTTCATTTGGATTTTAATGCGTGTACATATGTAGGTAGGTAGAGTGGCTGTCTGACGACGCTTTTAGGCCTTTAGAAGGCCCATTGTCAAACCATTGGGAATAAAATCCCTTCACTCTATTGTCGCCTCTTTAAACCACTCCTTGCATCTGATAAAGTACAAAAAGTTTTATATATGCAGCCTCCGAAACATCGTTAAGAAATCCTCGACCGATAGTTGCGATTGTTTTTCTATTTAAAGCTTCGCTTTCGCATAGAAGATGTTTTGTAGTCTTCTTTTCTTATACATCCTGACAGCTTCTATGGTGTTCCTTGTCTGTTGGCATGTCTGCCAATTACTAGTTTATCGTGAAATAGGATGATAGATTCACTAAGAGATCAAGGCATTCCTTTACTATCTTTGACGAAACCTTAAGAGACTTAAGTGATTTCAAACCCGCTTGGCTATCTATATATGTATATAAATATATTCCTTGTTGTAAGCACCCTCCTTGTCAGAACAAGAAGGCTTTCTTTATTTGCTGTAATCTACGCTTGAAAGTCACTGCTGTTGTCTGGTCCACGGAAGGCGATTTTGGTATCTAAAATTGCTGAAAATACACCACCTCCTACTTGATATTAAGCTGCGTAACGTTAAAGCAGAATCAAAAGAATTGAGGTTTATAAATTTAAATAAGATTTTCAGTACCTTATGTACCTGTATAAGTGTATTTAGCCATCAGAGTTATTGGTTCAAACACAGGCATATTTGGATAAGCCATAGATATATTTTGACGTTTTTGAAGTTAATTTCTTAAGAGTTTCTGAATTTTTTATATTTTTCAAACCACGGACTGCCATAGTCACTTATAGAGAGATTCCTTTGGATTTCAAGGCCGATATTGATATCGATTTGGGACCAAAAAATGAAGTAGCATTTCATATTGAAGTCAAAAGTAAGGGTCGAGGATTGATGCCATACAAACTAACCGATAAAAATCCAGGTCTTGTATGGAAACTTTTGGATTGGAGTTAAAGGGTATTATAGCTTCGGTGCAACAAAAGTTTACGTTTTTTCTTGGTTTTAATTGTGTATTGGTGTTAATGCATGCATCCAGTTTTTCTCACAGTTTATCTAGCTTTCTTTCTTTAGCCGATATATTTTTATTCCAACTCTTTCTTAGTCCGGTAATGGGACGACCATTATACTCCACTGACATTTGAGTATCATTTCTGTAAAACTCACTGCTGTTTTCATTCAGCTATAGTACGAAGGGGTTTTCATGATGTCGTTTGAAGTTCGATACGGTCTCCGAAATAAGATAGGTTTTAAAGAGAAGTTTTTTCTGAACTTTCTGATGTTTGTAATTAACATGGTTTGCTTCTGGTAGTGCGCGCCTCGAATCACTAGAAAATGGAGTCCCAAAAAGAAATACCTACTGATATGGGTCTTAGTCTTCAAATCTTTTGAGCGGAATCGCTGAAACTATTTCATTATATTCTAACATACCTAAACTGTAGCAGAAATATAAAATTTATATTTAATGCCACCAAATTAATTATAGAACAATTAAAAGTGATCAGAAATGAAAATGACTTAAGTAGAAGATGCTTAAGCAAAACCGAAATCATGAAAGTATCTATCTATCTTAGTGTCAAAGGGATTTGAACATGAGAATATGTATGTACATATGTATATCGAGATGCGTAATACGTACCAAGTAAGGACGTTCCGAAACACAATGAATACTGCTAGTGCACAGGTTATAATGAAAATGACACTGTGTAAAGATGACAACCAGCGTCGATTTTTAGGTTCCATTGGTGGGGCATAACCAATAGCTGATAACGGTGATGGAGGTGGGGTGTAATCCGAATCATCACCAGCAAGCAAAGCGATGCTATCGCCATGAGCATCAAAATCAACACGCTCCAAATACTTTTCTGTTTTCTCACTGTGCGATGTTGTTCCACCGGCATTACCAGCTCCCTTATCGTTAACATTGCTTCCACCATAACCATATCCACTAGCTGGAGTCGGCTGTGCAGCATTGGTTTCCGTAACTGTTTTTATATTATTCATTGAATTAGCATTGCTTGCGTGTGACGAATTTGTTGTTGTTGTAGTGGCATTAATTGAAGTTTTCAAATCTGAGGCCATATTTAAACTTAATTTATTAAGTATGCCTATAGCTGGTTAAATTTACTACAGACAGGTAATTGTAGCGATTGTTTTTTTTCTTTTAAATAAAATAAACGATTTTTTTTTAATTATTTAACTTTGTTAATTTTTTGTAGTTAGTTTTTTCGCAGACTTTACTACATTTGTATGTATGTATGTTTGTATATCTAAATTAAGTAAACTAATCACCATTTTTATGTCAAATCGATAATTTCGGAATATATTTAGTATAATAAAAAAATCGATTGTTAACCGTGAAAATTGGTTATATTATCCAACTGGTACAGCTGTTGATAAGTATCACTTTCATTTAATTTCGTTACTTTTTCTTAATACGAATTAATATTAATTCTATTCATTTTTTATATATATTATATTTTCCAAATTATTATTTTATGATAACTAAATAAATGTACTGCAAATGTTTGTCTGTGTTGTTAACAAAGGACACGAATTGCTCACATCAAAACAAAAACAACATGCTCGTCGAAATCCTTTGTTTACATTTTGTTGGCTTGACGACGAATGGTTTAGAAAGCTTTCCCTGAATTTATACTAACTTTATTACAGAGGAGCAAATTAGTGCAACTTTCACATAAAAGTTGTTATATTCTTACAAGTAGTATATGAAAAAAATAATGAAATATAAAAGTAAATTATATACTTCAACTCTTGCTCTAAATATTTTCATTATCAATAACAAATGACTGCAAACAATTGCTTTTAATTTATATGCATCATTCATATACTGCGGTCTTCATTCATATATACATACGAATATCTGTGTCCTTTATGGCATTTTATTCCCACTGTTCTTCTGCAAAAGCTTAAATTTGGCCATGCCAGAAAATTTTCAAAAATTTCAGGAAGGCAAAATAAACTTTGCTTCTAGACGGCATCACCATTTTCACATGCAACCATGTACGCAATCACTAGTTTCTCTCTTTCGCACATGCTTTGTTTTGAGTGCTAAACGGGAATATGGAAAAATAGCTTCAGCAACACTTGCGCATCTGACAGCTGTTTAGTCTTTATTCACGTGTAAAATTAACAGGTACAAAATTAACGTAGTTATTTCACAGTTTCTTGCCAATTAAATTTATTATCTTTAGTGTTTGAAAAATTAATTTGCATTTCTACCCGAGTTATGCAATTTGTTTTTGTCTTTCCAATTATTGCTTTGGATATTGGTACAATATAGTCAAAAACAATAGGACAAATAATAAAAATGGTATTGAATTCTTCGTTATGAGCTAGAGTGAGATAGTACAATTGGATAGCAGTACGAAGTCAAAGAAATAATAAATAAAAAACAAATACACGAAGAAAGATAGATCGAAGACAAGAATAAATTTGAGTTTCAAAAGAAAATATAAATTTGTAGTGTGATTACATGAAAGTGAGTGAAGAAATCAGCAACAAACTTATCGTGAAAGTACGCAATACATTTAAAATATTCATATGCAAATAAATCCCAACTATAATAAGTAAATTTATGCAAGCAATACAATAATAAATGCAAAGCTGATAACTTATTTTGTAATACGTGCAGAAATACATAAAAATAAGAATATCATGCTAAGGAAAAATATCTTTGCATGCAAAAATATTTTACGTCAGTTTAAGGAGCAGTGAACAGCTATTGAATATATGTATATGCATACATAAAGTGTTTATTTTAGCTGAAAACCAGATACAATGTATTTTATTTACGCAAAACTCGAAATTTTTTTGCATGAGTGGTGCACAAATGACGTGGACGCAAATTGCACGCTGAAGTTTTGAGTAGTATTAAAAGTTGATGTTTTTTAACAACGGAGTTGTAGCAGGGGGCTATAAATATTGAGTGGGAGCATGAAAATAACGTCATTTTTGCAGCCGAAGTATACATGCATATCCTTAAAATATGTTTTCTCTTGTTAGTATTGTTTGCTTCCGCGACTCAGGAAAAAAAGTATACTTATACTACATATATATAATATTAGCAAGATGTTTAAAAAGTTGATTATTTCGTATATATCTGATAACTAGTTTTCCAACTAAATCACATTAGTTGTTTTTAATATCTAACAAACATATACCTACTTTGCAGTATTCACATATGAAACGACCTTCATTTGCTGGTGCTGCACACTAAATAAGTATGTTATGTGCAATGTTTATTTCTTGTTTTTTGGCTTGTGGAACTTTGCCATAGTCATACAAATGTACTCATATATAGGCATCACAGCTTACATTAATACTATACATGAATATAAAACAATATATGTTTTATATTGTATAACAATAAAGGCTGTGTCTCCCTGAGCTGCGCACTTACATCTACAACCGCTTTGTTTTTGCATAGAGCTAAGTTATTTTTAAGAAAGAAATCCAGATTTTAAAATTATAAGGATGGTGAAGTGTAATTATTTTTTTTGACGAAAACATAACACTCGATTAGATGAAGGATTTCTTTTTATAACCGCACCCACAATGACGTTTCTTCGCTACCATCTTCTTTAGCTTTACAATGCATCATAATCAAAAATTAATTGATTGCGGAAGTCACCAGCTGTGATTTGCAAAATAATGAAAATATTTTAAGATAAAGAGTTTTTAAGTATAGATGGTAGATGTGGTGCATTAACCTTCATTGAAAAGTGTTTAATATTCGAATAAGTATACATTAACATAAAGCGGCCACTATTGTAGAATTAATATAATAAAGTTAAAATACCAATTCGGAGATAGCCAAAATATCATCTCTGATTTGCTAAGTTATGTAAAATTTTGCTCTTTACCTTTTTAAATGTATGTATAATATAAAGATTTATGTACATACATACATACTAACTTGTGCAAAATGTTCGAACTTTAATTAATTGTTAATTTTTTGTTTTGCAGATACCAATAATCAAAATATACAACTAACAACGTAAGATAAATAAACGGGAATAGATGCAAATAAGTACACACATATAGTATATGCAAGAATCTCACAAACGAAACAAAGGAGGTGCATCTATATTCTTCGATACTCTTGAGACCAGTGACGTTTTATTGTTTCCTGTTTAATAATTAATTCTTCTAGACCCAAAATAACCATATGCTTTAATACAGAAACACCTACAATATAATAATATTATTAAAGAAAAAAAACAAAGAAGTAAAAACAATACATACATATACAAAGATCCGAGCAAAGCATAATAATTTGTGCGAAATAAAATATTCAGAGGAAAGAGACAAATTCAACACAGCAAATCTCTGTCATCGTGTGGCTAGTGAAACTACAGCAGTAGATGCGTGTGTCATAATATGCAAAATAAAGTTTTCTATATCAAAAACAAAAGCAAAACATAATACGTAACAAAGTAAGGAATAACAACGAAAACAAAACACTATAAACACAAAAGTCACAGAATTAAACAGAAGTGTATATTAAAGACAAGTGACATTGTCGACGTAGGTGGAGTAGTATTGCAACGTTAGCGTCTCTATGGATCGTTTCGATTTGGAGGATGTGGTTGCACCGCCAACACACACTGCCGATGCGCCACTCAAAGATTGGCGTCTCAAGTATCAAGCTGGTACAATAAAAAATAGTGATTTTACGGAATTTTTTCAAAAACAATCAAGGAAATATTTTCATTTCCGATATGAAAGAGAGCAAGGTGAGTAAATGCTTTACTGTTATTCTCATTAAGCAATGCTTAGCCATTCATATTAGTTACTATTATAAGCAGACCACACAGTAGGTGACTGAAAGTAAAAAATTGTCATTTGTCTGCCCTTTGACAATGGCGGTAGCGACGACGGTTGTGGTTGTTTTAGTGCTTTGGTAACATTGACCATGGCAACATGATCTGATAACACTCGTGTGCAATTTACCTGATTATTTACATACACATGTTAAAATTGTAATGCTATTCTAGTTATGTGGATACATATGCCAGTTTTCATAACTACAGAGGTTTTTGAGGTTTTATACTCTAGCTCCACACGTCGCTTACGGGTGTTATACTTTGATTAACGTTTGCTTGTAAAAGTATTGTTGAATCTAATTATACTCTTATTTACATGTACTTCATTTTCAATAAAATATATTTGTTTTTAGAAAACAAAAAATAAAAATACTATATGAAGCAAATCATTGTTATATACAGACCTATTATTATCCAATCCAAAAAGCATAAACCCCAAAATCTATATATATATTATATTCGATGTTTTTTTTAGATTTTTCAGGTTTAGGTTCTTATTGTGGCGCGACGTATACATTGAGATAATTTAAAAAATATTTATAATACATACATGCATACATATGTATGTATATGTACATATTTGCCTGATATGGTTGGAGTATAAAATTCCGTTACGCTTATAAGTTATGCTTCCTTACTAGTTTACCTTGTTTCATGTAAAATTTTGTTGTTAATAGTCTCTTGTTCATATTAGTACAATAAAAGTTGAAAAATATCTGGATGTGGTATTGAGGCCTAATTGTATCATATAATGAGCATTCCTATACTGTTTCTTTTCTAAATAGTGAGCGCTCAATTCCTCATTATATTTGTCAATTTGATTAGTTTTAGTATTTTAATTATATATTTAGACAATTTATCGTGGAATTAATATGAATCTCGTTAATGTATTTATGCGAGTTGAACAAATTGTCAATAGGTGATTGACTGCCGTGCGAAATTTCTCAGTAATACACCATTCAATCGTGAGAACATAGCTGTAGTGCACGAAACTGTAGAGCAAGTCTAATTAAAATTAACATTTTTTAATTGAATGGAACTGCTTTTTATATTTGTTGTTTCTTTACCGTTATAAAAATTATATGGTTGGCTTAGATTAAGTTTAACATAAATGTATTAATACACATGACTTCAAATGAAGTTTGTAAAACCCAGAAGGAAACGTCGAAGACTCTTAAAAATATATACATAAATCATTAACGTGGCGAGCTGAGTCAATTTAGTCATGTCTGTATGTCCGCCTGTTTATCTGTATATACTCTAACTAGTACCTCAGTGTTTGCGATATCGATCTGAAATTTTTCATATGTCCTTTTCTCGCCAAGAAGCTGCTCATTTGTCGGAACCACCGATATCGGACCACTATAGCATGTAGCTGCCATACAAACTGACCTATCAAAATCAAATTCGTGTAAGGAAAACTTTCTATCTGACATGATATCGTCACGAAATTAAGCATGGATTATTCTCCAAAAGAATAATATAATATCCGAAGAAATTATTCAGGTCGGAGCCCTCTAGCATATAGCTGCCATCAAAACTGACCGATCAAAATCAATTTCATGTAAGGAAGCTTGAACCTGTGAAGGGTATTTCCCAAAGCAAGTATTTTAATATAACACAGATATGTAAAATTAAGTGATTAAAGATTATTTTCATTAATTATTGAAAACATTTGATTATTTAATAATGTTCATAAGTAACATTCAATTTTATTTCCAATTATATTTCCTATTTATATATGAATGGGTTTTAACTACATAGTATATGCAGGCACGAGTAGATTCGCGACGAAAGTGCTTTGTGATGAATCGTCAAAAATGAAAATAAAAATAGAATAAAAACAAAAAAGTGCTACGTAGCGCTTTGTTTTCCATATAAGATATTCTAGAGTTCAGAGGCATGACAAAAAACGTACAAGGCGTTGCTACTTATATTTATCAACTAGATGTAATATTAAAGCGATCTTAGTTGTAAAATTTTATTAGTCTCTATACTTTTAACCGTATAAATATTACAACTTCTTAATCATTTAGCACATTATGGCACTGTGGATCGCATGATATTTGAAATATTCGGTTATTATTTTTGTGATAAAAACAATTAAAATTTCAAAAAATATTTGTTATTAGACCAATATGAGTGTATGGGCATTTCGATTTAAAGTGACATATTATCTCAAAAATACATAGCAAACGTATGTATGTACTATATCCATAATTTACTTATATTAAAATCAAAAGTGAATAAGCTTACAAGAAAAAGACAATGCTACCAACTATATAGATAATTTATACGCGTAACTGTTGTTTATAATCACCTCATCAGCATTTTCTGTAATTATTCACTTTTAGTCACTATACATAGTGCTGAAGCGATTTATCACCATAAAGTATAGGTTATGTGTATATGTATATATATATATGCATGAAACATAACTTGTTTGATTTTTTTTCTGTTAAATCCACAAACATATATTTAATTTATCGTCATAACCACTGTATTAAAACGAATAAAACTAAAATTAATTGTTTCCCTTTCTTTCAGATGCTACCAGACCCAGCTGTAAGTAAAATAGCATTGCGAAATTCATTTCGCTGATTATCGTGAAATGTCCATTGAACATTTAAATGTATTTCATACATCATTCATAGTACTTTATGTAGTTGTAAGTTCTGTCTTCCGTAAAAAAGTACCGATACCTTCTATAGGGTAAGAAATCTGTCGTTCCGATTCATGAGAATTAATATTTTTTTAATCCTGGAGAATATTTCTACGCCACCTTTTGTGCCAATTGGAGGTAGCATTAAACCCTTAATAGAGGATGAAACCCTTAAAGCAAATGAATATATATTTACGAATTATTTATGAAATTCTATTCCATTCCACATTATGTGGCAACAATATACTCAACGGGGATAAGTTTGATATGATTTAAAATCAAAACCATCTCACTTTATTGGAGATTACTTTCTCATAAGAGCATTATTCTAAAATCTATCAATAGTGTTGATTTCTGACTGACACTATTCAACATTTTTTATAAATAAATGAAGCTCTTATTCTTTGTTTTTTTTTAAATATTGTTTTCAATAGAGTTGAAGTCTTTTTAGTATTTGTAAATTGAGTCGCGTATGTATTTATTTTTAAAACAATAGTTGTGGTCTCTTTCAAACTTTATTGTGCATACTGAAAATTTTAAAAAATTTTCAAATCATTATTTCAAATATTTTCTGAGTAACAGCTTTCCAAAGTGTAGGTGTTCAGTTCAATCAGTTTATTTTTATAAGCATTTTTCTCAAAACTACATTTTTCATACATTGACTGCAGTTGCTAAATTGTAAAACATTTCATGCAGTAATTTTCTTTAAAAGAAATATGCAAAAATCACCTTTTTAGGCGATCCCACTAGATGTGTCCCTTAAAGTTAATGGAGTTTGGTTTGAATTTCAATTTTAGCTATTTTAAACAAAGACAGAACTTATAGGCGACTAAGTACTATGTGCTATTGGTTTTAGGTTAGGTACTCTTAATATATTCTGTGTATAATATCATTTACTTTTTGTTGTATGTACTTTTTTTTGTTGTAGTTCTACATTAAACACTCATTAAGTCTTAGCGGTTAAATTTTCTGCAGTTTTTGCCTTATTGCATGCACATCTACTCATAAGAAAGCTTTAATAATAAACTAATATATGATTTGCTTTTGCGGGTTCATATTAAATACTCGCACTCAACATAAAAATCATTTCACCTAAATCCGTAACATTTGCTTGATGCGCTAATTTTATTATTTTAATATCGTTTATTTATTTATTTTTTATTTTACGTTAATTATTATGTGTTTTTGGTTCCCCAAGGGGCAGATGTACTTTCTGCATTTAGAAACTATCAAACTAGGCTTGATGGCTCGCGGCCTCGTGGCGCCTGTAAGTTTTTTTTGCCAACACTTTTCCCAAAACTTAAGTTCACTCATCTGAACAAATAAAATAATTCAAATATAATCATCAAATACATAAATCAGTGATTCAAAATTATTTTTTTGTTTTCATTAAAAGGAAGAGAATATTCAGTTTAATACGCATACATCCATTGTGTTTAGAATTTACTGGCCACGCTACTAATTTTCACTGCCTGGCTATTATATAAAGGTGGTTATGCACTTGCTATGCAAAAACCAGCAATAATCAATAACCATTTTCATTACTCACTAATACACGCAACTATGTTTCTACTAAATCTATTTTTCATTACTCTTTTTTTTTATTCGACTGTGCTCTTCTGTATGTTCATTGCTTTGGAAAAAAATACATATATTTAGTAAAAATCAACTTCAACGAGGCTGGCGCCAAGGAGCACATCATAAATGTTCTGATGGAGTTCGTGTTGGGTGATAATCCCACAATAGTGCTCGATAAACTGCAACAGGAGGGCAATACCGCCACGGTGTGTGGCAAAGTATTCAAGAATGGCGAACCCACATATAGTTGCCGCGAGTGTGGCATGGATCCCACTTGCGTGTTGTGTGTGAATTGTTTTAAACAATCGGCGCATCGTTATCACAAATATAAAATGTCAACTTCAGGCGGCGGTGGCTGTTGTGATTGTGGCGATGAGGAAGCATGGAAAAAGGATCATTATTGTGAAGAGCATTTGGTGAGTACCTTTCATTTAAATTCATTTTGTGTCATTCGTTCATACTTAATCGATAACTTCCGAAGTACAACTACGCCTTTTGTTGTTGTATATGCAAAAAAAAAACATTCACCAAATAATTTTGGTAGAGGCGGCCGAGTTAACAGTTCTTAGCAGTATAGATGTATATCCGAGTAAACTCGACTGTTGATTGCTACTTACCGATTTAAACAGATTTAGATCGCTAAAATTATGGCCCTTGGCCACCCAAAATCCAAATTCCAGTACCGCATTTTTGGGTGTTGTGGGAATTGTAGACCTGACTGTCGCGGAAACGGACACCTTTTCTTTTGTAATTTTGTACAATTAATGAATTCAAAAATGTATTTTCGTATTCGAAATGTATTTGATTTCAGCTGTCTGACTATAAATCCATTCATTCCAAAATTGAGTTGTATTTTTTAAGCATTAAATTAAGCGAAAACTTGAAAAAGCATGACTGTGTTCGTAAATAATTGTAAATTGCCTAAAGCATATAAGTCTTGTTCAATATTTCATATTCATGCAATAAACAGTATCGTGCAAAACCTCGACCTCCTCCAAAATCACGTTCGTAACATCGTTGCGAAGATTTATAATAGTTAAATAAAACAGTTAATCAATGTTTTATACCTTGAACATATACTTATTTACCCTTAATACCAATATTTATAATACCATATATATTTATTAGGTTTATTATTATATTCCGGATATTATCATAATTTTAATATCTCTTTACTAATTTTAACTTTATTGTATATATATTTGTCGTATTGTTGATATTATATATCCAAAGCCTAGCTATTGTAAAATGCTGCTATTCACTTTCTGATCTCCAAATTTCCATATGATCAAATTTGACCCAGATGGATAAAAAAAACTACATTTTCACGTATTTTCATACAAATCTTTATTATCGCTTTTAAAATATAGTCCTTAGCGAATACATTCATGCTTAATCACTTCTACTCATGCTTAATTCACTTTTATAAGCCTCGGCTGAGATGGCCTTCAGTGCCCAAGCAAAATTGAATTTTTCGGTTCCGGCTCATTTTTGGAACGCCATCCGCTAGATTTTGGACAGTTTTGACATTATATTTGTAAACCACGTCGCGTTTAATGAATGTGGTCCTAACTACGTTTTGAAGCATATTTTTTTTGTTCCTCGACGTCGTTTTGTAAAACATTTCGGTCTTTGGTACGAGTCTAGACACGCTTCATACCCAGAACATTAACCAAAATGGTTGAATCGATATATAAAACATGCTGAGATCCTCTATTATCTCTCTGATGCCAACACGGCGACTTTGAAACACTGTTTAACTTATTCGATGTTATCGTCTTACCAATTTGGCATGAGGCAAGTTTTCGATGCCTGCATGACCTTCACTAAATGCTAAATGCCAACACACACTAATTAACATATGGAGATCAAACTTCACGAACATAAAAACATTTTTTTATCGATTGGTTGCGCGCGCAGTTAAATGGACCAGTCCGGGTATATTTGATCAGATGTATGTGTAATTGCTTATGTATTATGTACGTATGTATTTGAAATCAACTTGAAACGAATTTAAACTACGAAGTTTGCCAGACCCTAAACTGTTATTTTTAATCGTTTAATTTTTTGCATAAATTTACTTCGGCTTACAGTAAATTTCCATAAATAATGCACATTTCGAATATGACGACAATCGATTTTGGTTGTAACTCTACTTGGCGTCGCCTAGCGAGGCAATATTTTGGCAAATGGCTGTCTTATCCTTGCCAACAAATTTTCGATTATAAGTAATTCGAATAAATTCTGAAAATTTTCAAAATCGGCTAGTAGTTTTGAAAATTGTTTCAAACAGTATGTAGCAGAATTCGCAGAGTACAAAAATTCTTTATTCCTGTAAAATAACGGTTCTCTGTTAATGAAAGATACTGAAAGTGAAAAATTTAATCGTTTTACAAATATTTTGTAAAAAGTTCAATAAAAACAACGGAACTTTTTCAACTAATTGTTACTTGCTTTGGCATACTTTACGTTACTTCATATTATATTTTATAATTTGAGTGGAATCCAAATTTATAAATTACATATGTGAATATGTATGTTGTTACTGATTTAATGTGAATAAACAATATTTTTCAAAAAGAAATAAAACACTTTATTTATGTATATATGGTTTTATATCCTTCGTTGCACATGCTAGCAAACAATCGTATAGAATAACCACAAATCAGTTCGGTGAAAATCCGTGAAGAAACAACCATTGAATTCACTAAACGTGATGCCACAACACTAGAAAATGGTAAAGGCAAACCGTGCTGCATATCGGCCAGTGAAATATTTTTCATCATAGCTCAAATGCAATGAAAATCAGAAATATCAAATATTTTTCTGCTTAACTCTTATGTGGGACTTTAATATACAATTTTACATCTTGTTCATTTTTCATTTTCTAAATTCATTAAACGATCAAAATCACATTGCATTGTCATTGCAACCAGCTCTGATCTTCCACCAACCCTTACAAATAATCACTATTTTTGAAATGAATACATTACACTTTCAGCGCGGCAAGGAGAATCCCATCAGTAGTACAATCATCACGGACGCCATACAGGAACGTTGTGAGCTGGCCTTCAATGCGATTCTTACATTTTGCGTGAATTTCCTAGAAATCGAACCGAACGCAAGCCTCGAATGTTTGGACGGCGACTCAGACGATGGACAAGAGGAGTGCTTTTGCACCGTACTCTACAATGACGAGTCGCACACATTCGATCAGGTCATACAGACATTGACGAAAATTGCCAAATGCCGCCAGAAGGACGCTATGGAAATTGTGGCGAGCATTGATCGTGAAGGTCGCGCGGTTGTCAAGTGTGATAGCTTTAGTGAGTGTCAGCAACTGCAAGAGGCCATCGAAAAACAAGCAGTCACCGCAGTACCAGCTATACCCCATTCACGCGCTAATCAATCGCTACGCGTTTCTGTGCTAAATATACGAGCTGTGGCTTGCCAACAATTCGCACTACAATTGCTCACATGGTTTCAGGAGTTTCTCATTAAACACAGCATTTTTCGTAAGATATTCGCACGTCTAATAATGGATCGTAAGTCACCCTATTGCATACGACACATACTCGAATATGATGTGAAGTTGTGGAAGACAGCACGTGCCTGCTGGCATCGCCTGCTTATATCCGGCCTACTGATGGAGTATGACAACAAAATGGCACTGGCGCAAGAATTCTCCAAACATTATGCTTCGATTGTGCAGGATTTCATACGTGACGATCACGAGCACTCATGCTCAATCGTTTCGCTGAGTGTACAGTTATTTACGGTGCCGAGCATAGCGCATTATCTAATGGCTAATGAGGGTATTTTTCACAAATTGCTACACACATTCTATCATGCATCGATAGAGACTTTCATCAAGAATAAAACCTTACAATTCTCAAAGAACATTAATGCGCCGTTTAAACGCGCTGCTTACATTCTATACGATTTGCGCTATATACTCAGCTTTAAGCCAGATGTGTGGACGGATGCATTGCGTGAGGGATTTCTGGAAGGTTGCAAAGCGTTGCTGAAGCTGTTGAACGTGATGCAGGGTATGGAGTCGACGACACGTCAAACCGGTCAGCACATGGACTACGAACCCGAATGGGAATGCGCTTTCAATTTGCATATTAAATTAGCCACCGCTATAACTTTAGTATTAGAATGGTGTGCTACTGATTTGGCTGTACTGACTAAACTTTATCAAATGGTAATGCGTTATCTCGTTACAAATACTTTTATTGTGGATACCACAATTAAGAGAGAAGAGCGTCATGTTGCCGGCCATGTAGCCGAATGTATAATCTACGATGTGGCTTCACGACCCGTTTCCATACATTTACCATTGTCCCGCTTCTTTGCTGGCATATATTTGCACTTGGGCTCATTCGGTTTGACCTTTGATAATGCCGTTGCTGGCAACAAACGCACGCCCGAGGAGATTATGGAGCCAATATTATGCACACAAACAATGATTGCTCAGGTAAGTTTTTGAAAAGAGTGTTGCTAGTGCTAAAAGTGTTAATTATTCAAAAAATAAACTAATATAGGTGCATGCTGCCATGTGGCGTCGTAATGGCTACTCGCTGCTCCATCAGCTGTACTTCTATCGTATTGTACGCTGTCGCACCGAAATGTTGGATCGTGACATTATCGGCTTACAGATTGGTGCCGCTTTAATCGAAAGCAACCAATATCTGATACATATATTAAATAAATTCAATTTAATCAAATGGATACAACCGGATTATGAAAAGAATTCAACTGCACAAGCGGTGGATGATGACTTTCTCTTACCGATGATTGAAGAATTTTTAGAATTACTCATCGTAATCATTGGCGAACGTTATGTGCCCGGTATATCGAATGTGGCGGAAGAAGATCGCACCAAAAAGGAAATAATACAATTGCTTTGTATTCGACCATATTCACACTCCGAGTTGAATCGCGCTCTGCCCGATGCGCTCAATGAAACAGCCGTGGAAGATGTTATCGATACTGTGGCAGTTTTCAAAAAACCACAGAAGTCAGACGCTAGAGGCGTTTACCAGCTCAAAGAAGATTTGTATGATAATTATAATATGTATTTCTATCATTACACCAAGGAAGAAAAGTCCAAATCGGAGGAGACACAACGTCTGCGTCGTAAGAATAAAAACGAACTCGTTTGTTGCCCACCCCCCAAGCTGCCCAAGTTGACCGATGGATTTGTGTAAGTTGGTACGATACGCGATACGTTTAGAAAATACTTATGTATGTATATATTCTGACAGCTCTATTGCTAATCTGTTACAATGTGACGTTATGATGACGATATTAACAACTGTGTTAGATCGTGCAATCGATCTAACCTCAAATAGTTTTGCGGAAAATCATTTACAGGAGGTAAGTTAATCTACTAAAATATATGCTTTTGCTTAATAATGACTACACTTCACACAAATATTGTTTACAGGTACTTTTTCTAATCGGTTATGGTTTGCAAGAGGAACAATCGGGCTATTATCCATTTCTTTCATTCTACGAGCAGTCACAAAAATATAATATGCTAAATAAATTAGAAGAACTGTCGCGTAGTTCTCGGGTAAGTACTGTTGCTACTATATGCACTTGAAATATTTTTCCCGTATACTGTGATATACGTTGTCTGCTTTTAGGTTGAGGCTCATCGCGATTTCATACTCTGGACAATACAGAAATTCAAGGAGTTGCAGGCCAAAGGCAAAGCTAACGAAGCAGATGACCTCAGTACAATGTTGGCAGAAGGTGCTGAAGCAGTCGAAATATCACGACCACTCACCGCTGCTGAAAAGGAGAAGCAAGAGAAGGAGGAACGTGCACGTCTGGCTGCCGAACGTCGCGCTAAAATAATGGCACAAATGCAAAATGCCCAAAATAATTTCATGAAATCGAATGCAGAAATGTTTGCCAGCGCTAATGTACAAGCGACCGGTAGTCGTGATACAACAACAGCAATGGAATGGCAAGAAGATGTTTCGAATATGGACGAAGAAGGTGCTGTAGCATACAATTCACAGGCTTGCTTGGGCGTGGAGCGACGCTTGCAGCAGCCAGAAGAGCAGAGTTTCAAATGTATACTCTGTTTTGAGGACTGCACCGTAAGTAAGGACGGACCGACACTCGTATATTCGGCTTTCGTACAGAAATCGAAAGTATTGCCACCCGATGCAAAAAATGCATGCTCAGTACACACAAGCAGCTGTGGTCATGTGATGCACATTAACTGTTGGCAAGAATACTATACTAACGAAGAGACAAAAGAACAACGAAGGCCACATCGCAATCGTCAACCGTTTCCACAAGCATCACAAAACACTGAATTTCAGTGTCCATATTGTCGTTGCCTAAGTAACTCAGTGTTGCCACTGAGTGCACCGCTATCCAAGTACTCAATGCCATTGGTTATTCATAAAGGCGAGGATTTATTCCCCATCGATATGTGGATTGAGGTTATGAAAACATTAGGTGATGAATTGATTTTACCCCCAATTGAGGGCAATTTCGATCGTGTTTTACCACCGACAGACACAATATTGTCGCGCGCTAATTTGTACGCCAATATCGCACAGTTCGAGCGTATCGCACAACCCATTGATAAGTTAGAACTACCGGCTAGCTGGATAACTTTTGCTCAACGCTATATCAAATCGATTCGGCAACATGCGCCAACTGATTTTGACGAGTCTGAGAAGGATGGCTTCTTGTGGCTGATACATACTTGTATCTATACAGTGCGGGCGCTGGAAGTTCACCATCGTGCGGTAGCTAAACCGTTTAAGAGTGAAATGTCCATACGACAAAAGAGTTGCATTAGTGGGTTGGTGCGTGCGTCATGCTTATATGGCACAAACTTGACACACACCGATGTAACAAATCTGAAACCCGCTGTGGCCGAGTTATTGGACACAGTCTTCAAGCAAAAGGGCAGCTGTGTTTTGGAATGGCGACCTTTCAGCATGATGGTGCAAATGATATGCATGGTGCCGAATATACTTTTCTCCTCTTCGCGTAAGTATTTATTTTTGTGATTTGAATTTGTCGTAAAACTTGTTTTCTACCATATTTATTACTACAGACAAATCTGTTGTGGTCAATGGCAGCATGCTGGACTTCTATGCAGTGCAGTTATTCTTTCTCGCTAATATGGTGAAGGCAATTGTGCTCTTCCAACCACCAGACATGGATGTCGACGAAGACTACGACCAGGAAATAAAACAGTTACCACAAAAAATACGCGACAACATAGCAGAATTTTATCGTAAATATAATTTTGTTGCTCGCCAACAAGCGCACGCATATATGCAACAACAAACACAGACTCAGTCACAATCACAGGCGCCAGCAAAATCCGAAGAGGCATTATTACAGGAAACACAGTCAACAGAAATCAATCCCGATATCGAAGTATCGATGCATGAATATAATGCTGATAATGAATTTAAGGTAGCGTGCGATTTGGGCACTATCGCCGCACTGTATGCTCACATCAAACAGCAAATGAGTGAATATTTACGTTGTTGTTGTTTGTTCTTTCACTTTGTCACCGAAGTGGAATTCCCCGATGAATTTCTTACCGAATATAGTGACACATATGAAAATATGTGTAAATATTTAGGCTTGGAAACCGGACTGGCAGCATATTTCGATAGTGCCGGCTGCTATGCATCCATATTAGAGATATTTGCCACCCACCCCGATTTGGTGTACTGTGACGTGACAACATTGAAGAAACGCTGCGGCCGTAATTTCGATTTGGTGCCCTGCACTCAACCTGTGCCAAGATTAGTAGATCTACCCGAAGATTTTAGCGATCTTATAAACAGTGTTTCGGACTTCATTTGTCCGAATAATAAGCGTGAAGAGATGAAAACCCCAACGATGTGCTTGATATGCGGCAAAATAATATGTGCACAATCATTCTGCTGTCAACCGGAGTTGGAAGGTCGAAATGTGGGCGCTTGCACTTATCATGCCAATTCTTGCGCTGCAGAAATTTGCGTTTTTCTACGCATACGCGATTGTCAAATTGTGTATTTGGGTCGTAATAAGGGTTGCTTTGTGTATCCACCATATCTGGATCAATATGGCGAGACTGATCAGGGCTTAAGACGTGGCAATCCGTTGCGCTTATGTCCGTTGCGCTATAGCAAAATACAACTAAATTGGCTGAGTCACACACTGCATGAGGAAATCGCCCGACTCAATGATAATACGTCCGTTGTGGCAACACAGTGGCATCACATGTAGTCTTTTTGGTCGCGGCCAACACAAAAGTTGTACCAGATATGATGCGCTGGACACTGAAGCGCAACCGGAACGGCGTGAGCAAGTTGGCGACTTATTACATATGTGATTTATGTGTGTGCGCGCTAAAGCAATCAACCTTATCGGGAATATTTTAGCGTGACTTCTTTTGTCTAGTACTAATTTAGAAATAGAGGGAAGAAAACATTGAAATTTCATTCCCGCTACGGTTGTATAGGTTTGCCTTTTTCATTTTGTAAAGAAATATTTTTTTATTTAATTTAATTTATTATAAACTAATTATAATAAATGCAGCTGAGAGCTGAAGTGTCTGTTAGCCAAAAATATAAAAATACCCCGTGGGGCAGTTTAGTTGGTAGTGAATAAGATAAAATCGCAACGCTTTTCAAGATACACACAACGTATACATAAATACATAACATAAAATACATACATATATTCTATAAACATTAACTGTGACTGTTTAACGCATCTACAGAAAAAAAACAAAAAATTAAGAAGTTTGGTATAAACGAAAAACTTGAATAGGCAAAATAAAAACCTAACTGCACACAGTACTTTTCTGGCACTCGTTAGAACTTTCGCTCTATATGCAATACTACTATTTACAAAAACAAAAAATGTTATTAATTATAATTTAACTATAACGACAAACAATTGAAGAAACGAAAAATTTAAATAAATCAAAAAACAAAGCAAAATCAATTGTTTACATGATTTGGACGTGCAGTGAGGAGTGGGAGGAATGTACAATTTTTTTTTTTTCTGAATTATAATTTTTACTAACATATTCAATTTGCGTTGATTTACGCAGCCAGCCATACTATTATCGATTCTTCTCTGTTTACCCCGATGATTTTTAAATCTACTCGTAAGCAACCAATATAAATAAAATTTTATTTTCGACAGTGAGTGTTATTGTAGTTCACACAATTTTTCATTTGACACCATTAAAGTACCATGAAAATAATTTCTTAAATATTTTGGAATTAAAATTCAGTTTTAAGAAGCCAAGACTATCATACGGTCGACAGTAAAACTCTGATTTAAAATTGGATGCTCAACAAATATTTGGAAATTATTTGCAAATATCCATCTCCTCTTTTATATTCTTTGGCGAATTATAAACGAAATTTTCGTTTTATTCTGAAATTTGAGGCTCCCTGTGTGGTGTTCTACTGTGGAACCCGATTAGTTATTTTGTGATGCATTTGTTGTGTGTACGGCTAATTTTGAAACAGTTACTTTTGAATATTTGTCCACTAGCAATAACCACTGCCACTTCAGTAGAAACACGATTTTCGAAGTTTTTCTCCGTGATATATACCGTTGCTCTACTCTAGTTTACAATTTTTAAAATTAAACCATATGATTTTTTTCTTTTCTATATTTTATCATCAAATTTCTTATGCCAACTGATATTGCTATTCACAGAGCCATTGTAACTAAAGAGTAAACTCGAAAAAAGCATAGAAAAAAACTACCATTAACAAACCATTGGGCTAAAACTAAGACTGATAGAGATAATATTGCGACACAACTTTTACAATAAATGTGCTATTTTCGTTCATGACATCATGAACTTATGTATTTTCTCATTCTCATCAAAACACCCGTCCCGATAGGCAAAAAAACTGGGACTCTTCAATTTTCACAACCTTCTCTTGAGGCGAATTTTTCAACAGCAAAATCATTCGCCGTAAACAAGACTGGGTAGTAATCACTTGGTGCCAGGTCCAGACTATAAGGTGCTGCATAAAAAGCGTCCGGAGCTTCCGGCGAGTATTGATGTGTGATTCACTTCCTGTCTTGGCCGATTGTTTCCTTCAGGCGTTGCAATTGTAGGAGCTTCGTCCATGCCCGTTTTCGCTTGACGTTATCGTAAGTGATCGACTTTTCATCATCAATTATCATCCGCTTCACAAAGAAACGAGTTTGTTGCGATTCAGCAGATATTCGATTTCGGTTCGCCTTAACTCTCATGGTACTCATACATTAAGCTTCTTTTTTATTCATCTTTATTTAAAATAGGGTTTATATACAATATTTAGCTCCTGGATCGAAGTCGACGATTTCCATTATTTTTGCAATATTTTCGGTGTCTCTTTGACATCAAAATTACCGAAACGAAATCGACAAAATCTAAATTGTGCATGATTGGCTGTTACAATATTAATACCATAAACACTACTCACATTTTCAGTCATTTGGCATAGGTTTTCGTCTTTATCGAAGAAAAACTGTAAAATATGGCGTATTCACTCTTTGCTGGTGTCCATCTCCGACGTATGGTCAAACAATATTGAGTCAAGCAATCACAAAACTGTTAGAAAAAGGGCTCGTTTTTTAGTACGAAACCTTATCTTTCTAATGCCATATAGCGTAACAAGATCGCATTTATACGATGTGTGATACGGATTACTAAAGCTATCTATTGCAAACAAATGGATTTATTTTTACTAGATCTGGAATTGTTTTCTCTTTACCCTATATCCCTCGTTTCTCCTGTCATCCAAAGCTGTAGAAACAAATCTTGTTTTGGACCTAAATGATGTCAAAGACAACACTTTCAAGATCCCTATTGTATGGGTATTTTAAAAATTGGTCAGTTAAAGATTAGTCATTCCGAATATTGGTTAATGAAATCTGTCCTCGAGGTCTTTCAAAATGTTTGAAAAGGTTTCTAGCTTTCCGAGTATTATTCTAGAAGATATTTAGGTTCTTATATTTTATTATATTTTAACTAGGGGAAAATATCCAACTTTTTCGTTTACTGAACAGTAAAGTTTGTCTATGAGATTTTGTTCTGGGGCAGACTTGTATGTTCCGTAATATCTTATATATAATATATAGTTTTTTACAATATGACTTTTATGCTATGGATCTGAGTTGATACGATCTCGAATCACTAGAGCATAAAGCTTCCTTACGAACAGAATAAAAGCTCTATTTTTTCTTATAAAGTAATCTTAATTCGATTTGAAGGTTATTTATATGAAAAAACGTGCCTAGAAAGAAAGAGCAAAGCATTTTCCGTTAAATGCAAACAGTTGGTCGGCTACGTTTCCGAATTAGTTATAGTTAAATATGTAGTTATAAGAAATGCAACTGTGAAGGGTATTATAGCTTCGGAGCAGCCGTAATTAAAGTTTCTTTTTGTCATTCGTAGTATAATGGTTTGACCAACTTCCTGATGTGGTCAGTAAAAACAATTTCACCTATCCTTATGTAAAAACTATCAGAATATCCATTAATCACCTTTACTTTCGCAAAAGACAACCATACTGAGTTTTGCGTGAGAATACTAGTAGAGAGAAATCGATAAATTAGTTTTGGATTTTTAATTTTTTCTTATTTATTTTCAATTGCTTTATTTTATTTTCCTTACTTAATGCATATTTCTCATTATACTTTTATCGTTTTACACATTAGCTTATACATATTTACTATAAGTCCTGCGCTGATAAATCATCATTACATTTTAAATGCTGGTTTTCGTTGCTTAAAAATATTTATTAGCCAATGATTTAAAGATAAATAAGAAGTACTTCCGACTAGATGCTGTTGAGGGATATTTACAATGAAACGCAATGAACTTAGTCTAATGTTTTTTGTTTTTTGTTAATTTATGTTTTAAAATATTTTTAAGTGGTAATATAAAATTTTTGGGCAAAATTTTATGAAAAATATAAATCATAAGTTTTCTTTGAAAACTAGTTTATTTTGTATAAAAAAAGAAACGATAACCTTATAATTATTATACTGTAAATAGGTATTTGATTAAAAGTTATTACAATATTTCATATTGTATAGCTCAGCTAAGTTTAAAGTCCGAAGTACAGTTTAAATACGCATCAGTTGCAGATTTTTTAAAATCTGTTCGATGGAAAAATATTGCATTTAAAAGGCCACAGTTCAATAAAAGTTAAGAAAGGGTTAACAAGCAGGCAAAAAGGCGTGTGTGGGTATGTGTATAGATTTCTCAGCAATAATCTACCTTTCGTGCAAATGAACGGTTATGAAAAGCGTTTAATAAAGAGTTTGTAAAGTATTCAATTGGAAATTTTAAAAACATGCTGGCAGTCCACGTTATGCTTTTTGGTGTTTGGCCCATTGGGGTTAACTCCCTCATCTAGTAAATTTATTTATTGCTATTATATTGTCTGCTTATTTCAATTTTGCTGCAAATGTGTCGATCTATTTGATTTCTCTCTCCATAAAGCTAATTGTTAGCCGTTCTGTAAGAGCGCCATATTGAAAAAAACTTGTAGAACTGGCAACTCGACTTAAATATGTAGCACAGCTGCGTTAGTTGCTGACGACGGTTTGGCACTAGCCTCCGTGGCAGAGTTGCTTGTAGTAGCTACAGTGTTCACAGTCTGTTGCGCTTGCGGCTCCTTGCACTGCTCCATATTGACAATGACACAATCGTAGGGTGGTGGCGGAATTTCATGCTTCACCACAGTATCATAACTGGGCGGCAAGCTGTCCATGATGCGCAATATATCATTTTGTGTGTTGATCTGTTGGCAGTGGAGAGATGGAGAGACAGAAAGAGAGTAAAAATTATTTTTCTTACATTCAAACTCAGTGAAGCAGAAAACTTCTAACTACTACTCACATGTGATATACCGCGTCCATCCGTGCGATTGCCCAACTCATCGATCGGTCCCGTCCAACAGCAGACGCTCAAGCGATGTGTTACATAACCGATAATGATCATGATTACCATCAGCAGACCCACACCCAGTACAAATACCAACCACGGGCTGTTGGTCATATTTTGTAAATTCTTTTCCAACTGCAGGGCAAAAAGTATTAGCACCGGTACCGCAACAACACCAACTAGAATGTCAACAATATGACGTCGATCGTTGTTGCCGTTGGCCAGATCATTGTTGTTGCTGTTGATCATGTTGCTCAAGCTGGTGGTCGAACGCACCGTGTTGATGCTGTGTGCATGCAAAGCCATTCTGCCAAAAAATTATAAAAAATTAAATCAATTAAGTAATCATATTAATATTTCAATTATAGATTTAATGTAGAAATATGCAAAATATTAATTTAAATTTTATAAAAGCTCATTTCAGTATGTTGATATTGACTACAAGAAGTCAGTAAGAATAGAATCCAAACTATGTTAATTCACCTTCCGTCTGATAGTTCAAGAAGGTATAAAACTAGTTCAGTACCGTTTCAATTGTGTATGTTGGTATTTTCTGAAACTCTTTCTGTTTAGTTTTAATCGAATTTTTATTCGTCATACAGATTTTCGGCATTATATAACGTCTTCGTGAAGACTTGAAACCGCGCAATATAATTACATATCGTTTTCCTACTAATTTATTTCTTTTTCATCTTACTTTTATCTCGGGAAGTAATAATAATATTGAAAGCCAGGACAGGTCGTTACAATGGGTGATCTAGAAACCCCATCATGCTTTCACACTTTTTTCACGTAACCTCAAAATTTAAGAGAAAAGCTGCTACTACGAAAACTACGAAAAACGAGACGGTAAACGAAATAAAAGCAGCAGTTTTGAATCGTTTAATGGGACCTTTTTTTGCATTTTCTAATAAAACTTAATATAGTAATGTACCTTTTTTATATAACTATAATCAGAAAATAAACATTTTAACGAAGAAACTTTTAAAAGAAAGAAGACACTTTTAAAAAAGCAGATATTTTAAATGAGAATTTTCGATACAAAATTTTCCGATATTAAGTCAAACTATGGTTTAAAAGTAAATATTTTATATTACAAAAATCACAGTATGTTTAGTACATAAAACGGTCAGTTTAATAAATAAATTATTTTTCCTTTCATGTTGTTTTTGTTATATTATCTTTCTTTTTAAATGAGTTTCATAGTATATTGATTTTTTTAAAAATATTTTACCATTTTCAAAGGCTTCAGCACTGTTTTACAATATTACACTACAGTGCTTATGCGTTTTTACCTCGGCATTTGTAGTACATAACCTTTCTATTTTCATTTTGCTTTACTGAACCAGCCGGAGTTGTCCTAGGTTAATACAAGTCTAAAGTGAAGGTGCCAAATAGAGTCACGGTGAAGTTATCGTAAGCCAAAGGGGGCCAAATGAGCTATTATTTGAGCAGCCCAAATTTATGTTTCTATGTTCTTTATTGTCTGGTTTTATCAGCTATAAATATAATTGCTTGGATTCCGAATAATGTCAAGAATTAGTAAAAACGTCAGCAAAAACCCGTGTTTTTATTATCTACGAGTTTATGTGAAGCTTTTGTGAATAAATTCTTTAAGAAAGTAGATATTTGAGGTCAATACCAGTTATATTTAGTAACGGTAAATAATAATTAAATATTTATAATAGTCATTGAGTTTTATATAATAGTTTGCAGAAACAAATAACTTCTACTTATTTTGCCACCGCACTTCGCACATTTTATTGATATTTTTCACCTTTAACTAATATTATTATTTTTCCATTGTTTTGAGTACATCATATAACTCGTGCCTATTGTAGTTGTTGGTGTACTGTTTTTCTGTTTATCTGTGTATTTATGTACATTTTTCAAATAACTTGGCACTTGAAATGTGTTTTTTGCGGCGTTTTAGTTGTATCTGCTAAAAAACAATCAACTTATTTGTTTACGGCAAAAGCCAACTTAAATGTGGTGTTAATATTGCTAAGTCTTTATTTGCCAACCTTATCTGGGTGCATATTTGAGGTTACTTATACGCCACAGTGTCATTTCTATCCTACTTCATAAGGTTTATTTGTATTTTTCTCCACACCTATGTTATTGTTTTTACCGTAGTGCAAAATATATATATAGTTAAATAGTTACAAAATATTGCAAATAAGTACAGGAAATAAGTTGGCAAAATATTATTTTCAATAAATGTTTGTTTAGCAAGTGAAGCACCTGTATGCATTACAATAGAAATCTTAAGTAATGTATCTGTAGTGCCGCACACGTGCCATTGTAAAATTTGTAAATCTTTACAGTAACGTATTTGTTGGGATATTACGTAGATATATACTTTTGGGTGAAATAAAGCTTTTTTTATCTCTTATTTTATTATATTTTATTTCATAAATCTAGAGACCAGTTTAGTATCAGATAACAGCATGGCTATAATCCTTATATTGCGGATTTCAAATGATTTTAACTCTGATTGACCATCTTAAAAAATCCAACTCGGACTGGCTCTTTAAATTGCGCAAACCGAATTAAAATTTTTTCTTTCCTTTTTTTCGTGTGAAGTTTGAACTTCATATGTCAATTAGTTTGGGTTTGGCAGCTGTTAGTTTACGAAGTGAAAAACTTGGTGATTTTTACCATAAATAAAGAAATGAAACGGCTTTGCTTGAAATTCTTGTATCACGGCTACGGAATCGATAAAAATGTTGCAGAAGTGTTTAGGGGAGTCTACGTCATCGCCAACTAAAGTATGTTAAGGGCATGAAGCAGTCAGAGAAGGTCGTGAAGTCACCGAAAACTTGTCTCATGCGAGTCGTCATCGATCGGACGATATCATCGAAAGCAGTTAAAGATGTTGGCATTAGAGAAATAGCAGAGGATCTTAATATCATTTATTGATCGACCAAACGCATTTTGGTTAATGTTTTGGATATGAAGCATGTCAATGCTGACATGCTGAATCATAGTTTGAAGATTCATATTAAAATAAGTGTCAGTCCGTGTCAATTTTGATCAGATCATATATGCCGAGAGTTAAATCACTTTTCGGTTTTTGAGGCAGCACAGCAAACGCTAGAAGAAACATTGGCTTCCTTTATAACGTTAGCTTTGGAGGAGGCTCTGTTATAGTTGAAAGGACTCGCAAGCGCTTATCTAAATATACCAACAATAAAAAAAATTATATAAAAGAGCAGTAATTGAATGTAAATTCAAGTCATTCACCTTTGCTTTAATTGCAATTAACAGGTATTTAAGTTAATTTTGCGATATGAAAAAATAAATGTGAGACAACGCGTACACGTACATACACACATGTATGTACATATGCTTCAATGTAAAATAATGTGAGTGTGAGATGCATTTTTTGCAATTTGCGTGAGAATTGTTGTTTTGAGAAAATAATCAGATAAACAATAATCAAGTGTACACAGTTAATATTTGCATGCACATATGTATATATATATATATATATATGTATTTATATATATGTATATGTGTATATTTGTAGGCATAGGCATACATATATTGATGCAGCTGCACTTATTTGTTGTATGCATGCGCAATGACTTGTTATGTCAACGAAGGTCTTGCATTTGCATTTTTCACATTTCACCTTGTTTTCAAAAACATTTGAAAATAATTTCATTTGAAATTTTTGCATCAAATGATAATAAAGATAAACATGTAAATATGATACACAAAGCTGATTTTTTTAATGTGAGTAAGTGCTTAACTCTGTATATATGGCAACCCAGTAAACCAAATGATTTTTTTGGATGCTCATAATCGTGAAAATGTTTCATTCAATGGGTAAGAATATAATATTTGTCTTTTTGTGTGATTTAGTCTAGATTTCAATAAATTAAATCAAATAACTCAATACATACTATAATGATCAAATATGACCCGGACTGGTACATTTAAGCTGTTCTTGCAAATTGAATCGAAAAAGAAGAAAACCCTTTTTTTACGTTCGCGTGAAATTTGAATTTCATATGTCATATAGTGTGTGTCACTAAAGCTGTCCAGTTTGTTGAGGACCCTAAAAGCTTGTCTGGCGATTTTTACCATGGAAAAAAATTGAATGAGTTTCCTATGGAATTCTGGTTACGGAATCGTTGAAAATTTTGCAAGCAGTGTTTGGGAGTGTCAAAAGTTTGAGTGGCACAAAGCATCCCATAAAGGTCATGAAGGCATCGAAACTTTGTTTCATGCGAGGTCATCCATGCACCTGTGTTAATGACGAAAAGATCGAAAAAGTTAAAGAAACAGTGCCTGAAAGTCGTTGTGTTGGCATCAGAGATAGCAGCAGATCTCAACATCTTTTATGGATCGACTCAACAAATTTTGGTTAAAGTTGTGGTTATGAGACGTGTAAATGCTAGACTCGTACTAAAAGACCTGATTCTTATGTAAAAATTGCGTCGAGTAGAGGTCGTAAAAGAGACGACAACGTAGGTGAGGCCCTAAAACTATCAAACGTGTACTGTTGAAGAGACGGGAGTTTATGGGGGTGGCGTCGATACTAGCCAAAAATCTGGCGAATGGCGTCCCAAACATGAGCCGAAATCGAAAAAGTCAAATACGTTGAAGCTAAGGTAGAACATCACAGCCGAAGATATTAAGAAGTGTATGGAAAATTGGATTAAGCATTGGCATGCTTGTATTCGCTCAGTAGCCTATTTTGAAGGCCATAATAAAGTATTGTACTAAAATACGTCAAATGGTAGGTTTTTTTGGCAGACCCGTTCAAATTTATCAGATGGTATTATCTTCGTGTACTTTAAACAATAGGCAAATTATTAAATTTTTTTCTTTCCATACTCAAAATGTTTGTCAACTAATTGTTTAAATTAATGTCATGTATACTAAACAAGATGCTAAAATTTACAACTTGATAGAATTAATCGAGCTATTTAAAGATAACATATACATATTACATTTTTACTATTGTAATAAAACCGCGACAAAAAATTCCAAAAAACGTTATCGCCTGATTAAGACTCTTTTATTATCAAATAAATTAATTGTTTGAGTTCTGTATAATGAAAGTATTCACCTTAATTTTAAAGAATTAAAATCCTTATCTCTGATGCTAAAAAGACTAAATAGACTCACTTAGTATAATAAAAAAAAATATGCACTGCTGAAATGGAAGAGATTTTTTTCAAATAATACTAGGTGTGGTTCCGTAAGATCAAATATTAACCGTTACTCGTCATTGCATTATAATTCGTTACCAGATAGTTGGGATATATGTATATATATATAGGATTTATACAT